GGGAGGGCATTCCCCATCCCCAGGGAGGGCCCCACCTCGGTGTTGGTGTAGTAGGTGTTCCAGGAGGAGCGCAGGGACTCCTGCCCCCCGATGTCCCACATGAGGAAGCGCGTGTTGTTCACCACGATCTCCTCCACGTTGCTGCCGATGGTGGGGGACGTGTGGACAACCTCGTTCATGGAGCTGCCCGGGGAACAGGGACACTGCAGTCACCACCAGCACCCCTAATTCCAGAAATCCCACCCCTTGGAGGGTGTTCCCAGCTCAGAGGGGAATCACGGCAAACGTCCCCCAGACAAGGGGCATAAAACCAAATAAAAACAGCCATAAAATAACTCACTGAGCTGTGGAATAATCAAATGACAGAGCTGAGAGCACACTCCTGAACAAAACTGGGCTATAATTCATTACATCAGAAAGCTGGGGGAATTTCCCCCTCAGAAGCTGTTAGGAGCTCACAGCTTTTCCCTCTCCAGGCCCATCTTGGCACACGTGGCACAGAGCAGTTGTTTTGCTCCAAGAATGTGGTTAAGCCACAAGATTCCCAAAGTTTCAGGAAAACAAGAGCTCCTCATCCAGCCCCACTGACACACCACATCCTGCTCTCCTTCCAGGGCAGACCACTGGAAACAGATTTTATCCACAACTCAGCTGCTTTATGTCCAAGCTTTCCCCTCCAGCACAGTCCAACACACAACTTTTTGGAGACATCCAGTCATTAAATATTCCAAATATATTGCTTGGAGATCCTGGGTGTAACTTTGTCACTGAGACCACCATTTTCACACCAAATAACCAAACGTGTGCTCTGGATACTCCTGAGGTTCAAGCCATTTAAAACTCCACTTTAACAGGCAAAAAAATTAACAGCAGTTTCAAAGCAAACCAATTTTTTAGGAATTTAATTATTTGTTTCTTCTGATACTCTTGATGTATTTTGTCATTATATATGAGGTTTTTAAAGTTTCATCAGAGGTTTTGGTTACAGTGACAGCAATTTGAGACTTGTAAGGGGCTGGAATATTTCCTGAAGAGGATGCTGGGAGCCAGGGAGCTCCAGGGACGGTCCAGTGTTCTGGAAAGGAATCCCAGTTAGGAATCCCAGTTATCCAGTGTCTCACAGCATTTAACAGGAAACCTGCTCACCACACACACTCGAAGGCAAATATTGGAGAGAAGGAGAAGGACTGGGAGGACCCTAAAAGCAAATGGAAGATAACAATGATGCCTGGGGAGGATTTCATATTTAGAACCAGGTTTCAGCAGAGTTCTTTTAAAGCTTGGAAGGGACTTGTGATCCCCTTTCCTTGACTGAACCCACAGCCTTTCCCATTCCAGCTGTTGGCATCTCCCAGTTTGCAGCAGGACAGATGGGATAACACCATTTCTAACACATTTTCTGATCACAAACTCCCACTGAGGGGAGGGAGATCTGAGCACAGAACAGGAAGGAACGATGTGTCTGCAAGAGGGAAAATGGGATGTGCAGAGATGGGGGAGGGTTAAGGAGGGGTCAGGCAGGAGGAACAGAGCAAAGAAGGAAGGGGGATACCAGAAGAGAGATGGGAAAGTCCTGTGGAGCTAAACTGGGTATAAAGGAACAGCACACACAGAGATCCACTGTCTGAAAGGGAAAATAAAACACTGAAACTGCAGAAATAAGGGGAAGAACTGAGAGACATCTGTGAGGAAGTGGAAAATCACAGCAGTAAATGCACCAGGACAGCCCTGAGTTGTATTAAAAAATACCCTTTGCTCTATTTGTGCTTTCTAAACCATGTCACCCACCAGATAAATCCCAGCCCCATCCTTTCCCTCTGCCTGCAGTGTGAGGGCAGCTGCAGGTGCTGCACCAGTGCCACGTTTTGGAAAGGCAGAAGCAGGTCAGAACGTGCCAAACCCCAAACGTTCCCAGAAAGCACATTTTCAACGCAGGGTTGGAGCAGCAGGGCCACATCTCTCACCAGGAATTATTCCTGGTGCTGCCTCGGGAACACTTCACGTGGGAAAGGGCCAATCTGTTCCCAGCACAGACCTTGAGCTGCCTGTGCCACCCAGGAGCTTCTGTGCACAAATGTGTACCCTCTTATCAGACTGCAGCTCAGGAGCCGAGATAGGGAGCTCAGATGAGCCTCATGGACAGCAGGGGCACGGCTGGGGCAAGGCAAACACCAGCCAAAGCCACTGGTAAAGGCAGAGGGTGCAGGACAGCAGGAGATGTCACCCTGGCTCCATCCTGGGATCATCCCGAGCCACAAAGGGCACCAAAGGACATCCCAGCACACCAGTCATGGCAGGGAGAGGTGCTCTGCCACTCACAGAGCAATTTGTCTGGTATTTAAATCTGTGCCATGGATCAGTTTTGCAACACTGTCCCGTGGCCAACACTCACCCCAATCCTATTTTACGGAGCTGGCGAAGAGCCAACGCCACGTGTGGGGACACCACAGGTGAGTGTGTGGTGACAGCACCTGAACAGAACCTCACTCACACACCAGGCAGAGCAGAGACCCTTCCATCCTCTCACCACCCACTGCCAGCCAGGAGTAAAACCACCCAGGGAAGCAGCAACGTGCCCAACACACACCTGGGAACACCCCAAAATTCCACCCCCCAGCGCAGGGTCATACTCACAATTGGTACAGAATGGTGGTTTTCCCTGCATTGTCCAGGCCCACAATGATCACTTTGTGCTCTGAAATGACAACAGCACTAATAAGTCACTTCATTCATTCTCGTGACATCAGCTGTGTCTGAGACGTTAGTGCCACGTTTCCCAGTGGCTTCCCAAGCACACACTGCCCAGCTCCAGCTGCTCGGGCTGTGTGGGGAGCTGCTGCTCAGAGCAGGGAAGGGGCTGGCAACTCATCCCCCTCTGCAGGAACAACTGCTGAGATCACACGGGGACGGATGTTTCCTCCTCTAAACTGCCAAAGCCATGTCCCACTGGAACCCTCTCCCAAGCTCCTACAGCAATTCCACGTGGTAAATGTTCACTTTCCCTTTGCCATGGCAATATCTTGATCTCTTGGCAACTTAAAAGAGTAGTTTTTGCAAGTAAAACCCACAGCCAGGCTGAGCTGCACCTGTGAGCAGGGAGGGAGATCCCCCCGTGCCCTCAGTGCCCTCCTTCGCTTCCAGCAGCTCTGGAACCCAGAGGACAGATTTGCCCACGGACATCTGACAGGACACACTCACCCAGCGGAGTTCTGGGTGCTACACAAACCTCCTCTGACACTCTGGAGCCCTGTGCCCAAATCAATTATTGCTTCTCCTTATCACCAAACCGACTGGGAACTCCACAGCTGCTGTTGAGCACATCCAAACCCAGGATTTCCAGCATGGGTGAGCACAGCCAGCTCCCAGCCCTGTTACACAACTTCTACTGCACAAACAACCAGGACTATTCAAGTGAAAGCCCTGTGAGAAGGGGCTTTTTTCCCCCCCTGCCCACTGGTCCTCAAGGGCAACAAAAAGCCATTATAAACACTGAGATCAATGTACACTCACACTGATTTATCCCAGGGGAGAGGGAGGGGACAGGGGTCGGGTAAGTGGGGTTTCCTTGAGTTTGATTTTACCAGTATTGTGGGGTTTTGCAGTTGTCTCGTGCCACCCGATACAAACTCCAGTTTTAGTAACTTCACATAACTGCACAACACTGTAGAAGTCTCTGCTCACCCGACCCCACATAACTTTTAGGAACTTTTGTTTCGGGTCTGATGCTGCCAGCATAGGAAATGTTTGGGAATCAGCTGGATCAGAAGGTCTGGATGCTACAAAAATATTTTGTTGTATTCGCACTAAGCGTTAACGGGGACGTAAGTGGGACATTGAACCTGCAGGTGTGAGCGCACCGAAACTGCCCCAAAATCGAATTTCAGGGGCCTGATAAACACGGAAAGAAGTGTTTTATAGTTAAAGTGACAACTCTGATGAGCACCTTACTCTAAGGACACAGGTGTTACAAATCACAGACTCACGGGATGAATCGGGAAGGGAAATTATGGATCATCCCGTCCCACCCCTGCCACGGGCAGGGACACCTTCCACTAGCCCAGGCTGCTCCAAGCCCCGTCCAACCTGGCCTCGGACACTTCCAGGGATCCAGGGGCAGCCACAACTAAAGCTATAAATAGCATTTTACTCGATAAACGAGCCAGATATCGAGGTTTACCACTTCAAACCCACACTCTGCCTATAAGCCGAAACTACCCGCCACGACGCAACCCGGCCGTGTTCCTTCGGTGCACATTAATAATGTAACAGCGGCCGTCAGGAACGAGCATTGCGGGGACTGAGAGCAGGGGAAAAAAAAGAGTTAAACCCCCAAATTCGCGGAGCGCGGGTCCGGCTCCGCCGGGCTCTCCCCAGCCGCCCTCAGCCACCCCCCGGCCCCCCGCGCTCTCACCCTGGTGGTTGAAGAGCCTCCATATCCTGGTGAAGAGGATCCCCATGGTCGGCCGGGGCGCTCCGGCCTGGCCGGCCGCGGCAGCGCGGGGGGCCGCGGGCGCTCA